TTTGTATCTAATTTGAATTTAAAGGATGAAATGGCTTTCCTATCTCAATTTATAGACTACCAACGAGGCAAATTACAAAATAAAAATCTACACTTACAACTAAAACAATAGAAAAAGCACAATTCTGAACTAAATATTCCACCTAAAGAATCTCCTCCACAAAATCATTCCTGACCACTCACTCCATGTATCCCCAGCTTGTTTCTTAATTCCTGTACTTTTTACCCCTTTGCTGAACAAGCATTTGTTTAAAAATGTATGCCCCTTACTAGATCATAACCTCCTGGAGAGACATCTTATTCAACTTCTGTACCCATCAGCACTGGGATTTGACCCACAATTGACCTGTGAGTAATAAGGTGTAAATCAAAACAAGTTTCTGACAACCAGAGGGTAGGTAGTAGGGGTAAGGGGCCTCTGTGCCAGAAGGCTTGCCTAGCATGCATGAGACCCTGAGTTCAGTCCTCTGTCCTGAAAAACAGACTGTTTCTGCTTTATGTGGAGACCAACAACACTAAAGTTAAGCAACTCCTACCTATAAAATCTGGGGCTATAACGGAATATACACAGGACTGGGGACACCAACAGCTCTGCTACTGACTACCTCTGCAATCCTGAACAGACCAGGAATCACCAAGACCATACATTTTTAGCAGTGGGCACTCTGTACTATGGCTAAATCCTACCAGTCTCCTTTGATATCTAGCTTTAGGTAATCATTTACTGCCATAGCCACCATGCACCTGTATGTAAAACTCTCACTTCCTGATGACAGCATAGGAGAGATCAGCTTTAAATGAAAACTAAAATTACAACCTATCCTCTCTACACAAAAATCTTCCCTCTACCCGAGAGAGGGCTCTGCAAAGAAAAACATCATTGCAAGTTGCCTAAGAGGGGTTCTCTTCTCACATTTTGTAAGAGCAAGAATAGAAATTCTGGCAGTCCTTATCAATAAGTAATGATAAGGGATGTTCTATACGTTCTAGTCCTAATTCTCCTTAAAAATTTCCAGGAAAACATTACAATGACAAAAGATTTTCCAAATCAGGCAGAAGAGAGAAAAAAAGAGAGAAAGACAGAGAGAGAGAGACCGACCCTGAGACCAACCAACTATCTGGCCAGCCAGCCATTCACGCCAGCCATGAGAAAAAGAACTAAAATGAGCTGAGGTGTAATTATTTAGGTAAAAGCAGGGTTCAAGTTGCCTCTTCTGGCGTTTGTTTTGTGTTTATTTTAATTCCATCCTTAAGCACATATGGAGCAGAGTTTCTCAACTTTGGTACAACCTTCTGGTTGTCAGAAACTTGTTTTGATTTACACCTTATTACTCACAAGTCAACTGTGGGTCAAATCCCAGTGCTGATGGGTACAGAAATTGAATAAGATGTGGTCTCTCCAGAAGGTTATGTTCTAATAAGGGGCACACATTTTTAAACAAATACTTGTTCAGCAAAGGGGTAAAAAGTACAGGAATTAAGAAACAAGCTGGGGATACATGGAGTGAGTGGCCAGGAATGATTTTGTGGAGGAGATTCTTTAGGTGGAATATTTAGTTCAGAATTGTGCTTTTTCTATTGTTTTAGTTGTAAGTGTAGATTTTTATTTTACAAGAAGTAAATTAAACTGCCCAGCTCCACTGTACTGTTCTGTAGAACTTTCTTGGTAATAGAAATGGTCTTTAACTCTGCTGCCTGTTATGGCAGCCACAAGCCAGATATGGCTGTTGAACACCTGGAATATAGTTAGTATAACTTAGAAAATAAAAAATTAAACTTTATTAAGCTTTAATTAATCTAGATTCAAATTGCTAAGTGTGGCTATTGCAACTCCAAGTTCCATAAGTTAGTGATTTCCAACCAGAGGCAACTCCTCCTACCCGCTAGGGCACAGCAGCCTCCACCTGGAGTCATTTCTTAGTTGTCACAACTGACAGAAGAGGGTACTACTAGCATCTAGCAGATGGCGGTCAGGGATGCTGTTAAATATGCTGCAAGGCACACACCATGCCCCACAACAGAAAATTAGCCCTAACTGTCAGGAACACCGAAGTTGAGAAACTCTGTTCCATATGTATTCAAGGATGGAATTAAAATAAACACAAAACAAACTGCAGGCCCGGCATGGTGGTTGCACGCCTGTAATCCCAGCACTTGGGAGGCTGAGGCAGGAGGATTGTTTCAAGTTCAAGACCAGCCTGGGCTATAAAGTGAGCTCAAGGCCAGCCTGAACTGCATAGCGAGACCCTGTCTCAAAAAGAGAAAAAAAAAAAAAAGAGAGAAAAGAAAAACCAAACTGCAGTACACCTTATCTAATCATAACACATACAATTTTTTTTAGGCAACAGGAAAAAAGGTTTAAATCAGCAAATTTTTACTAAAAAGTATAGGTGTGTGTGATGGATAATTTATTAAAAGCATCATCATCAGACTAATTACTTTCCCTGTGGCATTTTCTTACTTGGATATTAACATAAGTAAACTGTGAGATTATCCTATAGAAGATAATGAATTCCCTGCTAAATATGCTGCAATGCACACACTATTGCCCCACAACAGAAAATTAGCCCAAAATGTAAGGAATACCGAAGCTGAAAAACTCAGAGGAATTTGAATTTTCTGTCCTTCCAATTAACCTATCTGGTTTCTTGACACATCACTCCTTTCAGATACAAAGAACTGATATCATTGTGAAAGAAAAGCAAATCACAGTAAAAGTGGCCCTGTGGTTGCAGTGTGCACATTTACACATTAAGTAAAGGAAAAGACAGGGCACAGAATTACATTTAGACCAAAGGAAATGTAGGGAGTGATTCTACTAATGATGATAGCATACTACATTTTATAATGAGAGATGTTACTTGAAATTTTAGAGGATAAATATCAAATAACATTGTGGTTACTGTGCTTTATAAATTATGCATAGTCAGTTTAAATGTAATCATTCAAGACTGTTCAAATAGCTTTCAAATTTATATTAGCAATGTACAATTTAACTCACAATAGCCCATTCCTCAAAGAAATTGGAATAATGAACACAATGTTTCACTTTGATTCAAACTATTTTTAAGAAAACAAAGTCATCAAAGTTCATCTGATGACAATGCTTTCTTCTGCCCACTTAACAGAAACTGTCCACTGATGGACAGTTTCTGCATAGAGAGATAAAACACAATCCTAGTCATAAAACATTTACATCAGAGTTTTCACTCTGGCCGAAAGTAGAAATTTCAGCCTATATGTTTTGAATTCTAAAAGTTCACTGCAATTTTTGTGAATGCTCCAACCTTGAGCACCCTGGAGTTTCAGTACCTCTAAAAATCTTTTAGAGAGTTTAAGATCTTTTATCATCAATTAACATAACCACTAAAATCTACTAATCAGATGTCAGAAACTTAACACTTATAGGGAGATTCCAACCAACTCGGTTTTGCAGATTTGCCTATATTCTTGAAAAAAGGATCACCCAGGTTCCTTTAGGTTGGAAATTGGAATCACAGAAGGGGCATCTTTAGCAACATTTTATATTCAGCCACTGGTGTTACACACAGGATCCTGACCAGGTTTCTCAGCCTCCGCGTCAGTGACATTTTTGAGCCAGACAATGTGTGGGAGGCTGTCCTATGCAATAGATGGTGTTTAGCAGCGTCCTTGGCCTCTTCCTACTAGTTAGCAGCAGAAACTCTCTGCTCCTCTGTGTTCTAAATTACCTCCAGATGTTGCCAAATATCCCCTGGGAAACAAAACTGTTCCATGGTTGAGAACCACTCATCTTGCATGAAACTCAAAAGTACCAAAAAGGTGGGCACTGTGCTAATAAGAAGACTCATGAAAAACATATTAACTTTTTCTTTTCCTGTCTTCCACCCAGGATATACCATTACCATCGTATGCACATGACGAGGTTTAGCTCAATTTCTACAATTACTGTTTTCAATTTTCCAGTGTCAAGTAAGCAAACCTACAGCAGCTGCTGCTTTGAAAAAAAACACCAAAATGTTATTTCTGCCATGCCAAAATGAAAATGAATCTTAAACACTGCTAGTGCTACTATTCCTCAATTCCACATGTCTCTTCCTCAAACAGGAAAAGAAAGGAGGGCTCTGAGAGAAGTCAGAGGTCGGGCACAGAATGCTGGAATCCATGAAGAAATTCAAGCACCTATTCTCATTTACAAGCCCTAAATCAGGGACAATTAGAACCCATTTCACTTGTGTGAGCAGTAGGCCAGGTACATCACGCTACTGGTTTCCCTCAACGCAAACCAAGGTAAGGCGCTGGTTCCGGTGGATCTAGGGGCTGATGCCAAGGTCTCTCTTACTCTCCAGAAAGGGTAAGTCAAGAAGGTTTGGAACAGCTGCAATTCCCGAAACTTAATTCACACTCTACAGAGCACCCACCCTTTTCAGGATGCCAGAGGTTCCTGCCCAGTGTTTGCAAGCCACAGCATCAGAATCACGTGGGCGAACTTGTTAAACACACAGGAACAAGTTCGGCCCCCCGAGGTTCAGACCAGAAGGGAGTTGAAATATCTGTGTCTTTACCGAGGCCTCCAGGTGATTCCTGTGCACGCTCCAGTTGGAAAGCCACTGCTTTAGTAACTCCTTATGCAGACCCCGTAGAAAGACCTACAGCTCTGCAGCTCTTTCTGAAAGAACTGGAGAGCGCCCGGGGGATATGGCTTGGCGGTACAGCGCCTGCCTGGCAAGTGCAAGGTCCTGGGTGCGATTAGGCGCTGCTAAGGCCCAAACTGATGGCGCCTGTCACTCGAAAGGGGCCGGGCCGTTCCCCTCGCGGAACCTCCGCAGAGCCCAAGGGCGGTTCCGAAAGAACCCGGCCCGGCGTCTCACAGCCGCCCGACCCCTTGACGCGACCCGGCCTCCTCCGGCAGGCCCGTTAGTCCCAACCCCCTCCCCGGGTCACAATGGCAGCTCGCGGAGGAACAGCCGCCTTGGAGGCTGCTGCCGGGCTGCAGCGCCGTCCCCCACCAGCGGTACAGACCTTCTCCAGGGACGCCTCCATGGCTGAAGCGGTCGGCGGAGGCCGGTGGCGGCCTGGCACGACTTCCGCCTCCCGCGCCAGACAGCTGTTTCCACGCTGGCAGCGCTGACGTCCCCCAGCCCGCGGGGCGGAGAGGAGGAGGAGCTGCCAGCGACAGCGCCGGGAGGGAAGCTGCGGGTTGGCGAGTCCAGGCCCGGCCAGGCGAGGCAAGGCGGCTCCCGTCTGGGTGGGCGGCGCCCTCTAGGCTTCCGTACGTGGCCGTCAGCCGGCCAGCCCTAACGCGCCCAGGAGAGGTGAGCCTAGATAGATGATGGAACTATTCCAAACTCACTTTTTCAAGAACCCTGTAGAAATCGCTGAAGTAGAGACACAAAAACCACAAATTGTCATTCATGCAGTGCAAGGCGGGAAACACTGTGATATACTACACTTTCGGGCCCAGGCTTCCCCGTTCCTGGCACTGTCAGCACCTCTGAGAAATGGAACAGGCCACTTACTTCAGCCGGGCGGGCGAAGGCGCGCCGGTGCGCTTGCGCAGGCCTGACGGCGTCCGGGGTGTTCCGCGACTTGGGCGCTGGGGTTTTGGGATCGTAAGTGGCCACGGTTTCCAGAAGGTAACGGTCAGTGTTGGTCTCGTCTTTCTCGCAGAATTTTGAATGGGAAAGATTTTGAGACAGCTAATCCAGTTTCCTCCTTCATGTCACAATGATGACTTGTCAGACGAGGGATAATAGTATAATGCGTTGCTCTTCCGTTTTGTAGTACGGCAGCCCTTAGACGTAAAGGTCAGTAACCGCAACTCACCGTGCCGGGCTGGGTAAAATTCGCACTCAGACAACCTGCTTGCACATATGACTGCCTGCACACTGCTTCTACGCCTGCTGATTTAATGGGGGAATTTTTTTTTTTTTTTCGAACGTAGAATTAAACTCAGGCCCGTCGCATTGAGCTACATCCTAATCCCCACTCTCCTTTTTTGAGACACGGCCTCGCTAGATTACTCAGCCTGGTCTGGAATTCGGGATCCTCCTGCCTCAGCCTCCCATAGTGCTGTGCCACCACACCTGGCTTGATTTAATGTGTTTCCAACAAATGAGAGGCCATCATTTGTTCAGGATATTTCTCTGAGGAATACTGAAATAGATTACCATGGTTGCAGTCAGTAAAACACTTTCCTACTAGAAGACAGATGATCTTACAGCCAGAAAACTAATCCTTTTCTCTTTTGAAAGCTGTAAGTACAGCTGTACTACTTTCAGCTGTACTACAGTTTTTGTGTAACAATTACATATTTTAACATGTCTACTTTATATTTTGGTAACTTTTTTTTTCTTTTTGAGACAGAGTCTCCCTCTGCAGTTCAGGCTGGCCTTGAGCTCACTTTGTAACCCAGGCTGGTGTTGAACTCGCAAATTCTCCTCCTCCCTCACCCTCCCGAGTGCTGGGATTACAGGCGTACGCCACCACGCCCAGGCTTGGTAAATTATTTTTTAGCAAAAGAAACCTCCTGTGCTGGTTTGGAAACTGTAGAAACTAATGATTTGCCAAAGAGTTCTGCAAACAGAAGGAATGGTGGGGTTACATCTTCCAGGAACTGAAAATTGTGCCTGACCTAGAGCAAAATGAGTGTTAAGAAAATTTTCAAGCATCCTTTTCTAAAAAAGCTGAAAGAATTGTACAGTAAACAATCATTTACCCACTACTTAGCTTCTACAATTAACATTTTCTTGTATTTGTGTTATCCTATACGTATCCATACACCTATCTATCAATATATGTGTTCGTACATTTCACCCCTGAACACCTCAGCATGTGTGAATCGCCTCACAAAAGAGGTTCTACAAAACAAATACCAGGCAGATAAAAGTTTACTGTTTTAAAGTTAGACTTTGGAGGGCTAAAAGTATAGCTCAGTGGCAAAGTGCTTGTCTAGCATGCTTAGGGGCATTAGTTCCACCACCAGCACCACAACTAAAAACAAAAATCACTGGGCTTGTGGATGAACAGATAGGATCTGATAAACTATAATGCAATATTCTTTGCTCTAGTCAGAGGTAGGTGCAGAATGTTGTAAGAGTCAAGAGTAAAAGGCACTAATTGTGGAGAAGTTTAATCTCTATTGTCATAGTTTGTGTGTGCTGTTAACAGAACTTTCTTGATTAATAGACTAAAAAAATTATTTTCCCCTTTGGATACATTCACCTGATTTTGTTTTGATCTGAATAGTTATTACAACTTTGTAGATGAGGGTTTTTTTTGTCTTTACCTTTTAAAATCAGCCACTCGACATACATAGATCTACTGATTATCCACTATATCAATGCAAAAATGATAAATTCCCTAAAAGTGGGAGGAAAAAAGCAAAGTGAACAGAGATCTAGGTGTAATCACTACTTTTATAAAGTACATAGGTGAAGGCTTTTTGCAAAACAGGATTAGATGAAGACAAGGAAAAATAAATGGCAGTATTCCACTTTATGTTTGTCTGTTGTCTGCATTTATATTTTTGCCTTTGTATTATTTGCATTCATTTCTCTTTTAAATTAAAAATTTTAAGTAAATTGCCTGTAAGAAATAGTTTTCAATATTTTTTATATAAATACCAATTTGAGAGAAGTCTGCAATCCCTGATGGCAACTCAAGGTGGCAGTCCTGAAACACCCCCACCCCCACCCCCACCCCCGTGTTCTGTCTTGCTTAATTAGTGACGGGGGCACTGGCGATTTAGCTCAGCGGCACAGCGCCTGCCTGGCAAGCGCAAGGTCAATTCCCAGTACTGGAAAAACAAACAAACAAACAAAACCAAAATTCGTGACATGGGCATTCACTGAGATGGTCTGTAAGGGGAAAAAACAAAGAAAAAACCCCTCTTTTTGTTAAGATAATTTAAGATGGCCTAAAAGAACTGAAGAACTAACACCTTACCACCCCTGCACCTTATGAATGAAACCGTTTAAACAGCCTATAAACATTTCAAGGTGTTTGAAAAACACCACCCCTCAAGAATACTAACCACTTTCTGACATTTATGGTAATCAACCCTTACTTTGTAGTTTTATCACCCAAACATGAATCTGTGAACACTAGATTTAGATTTGCCTTTTTTAAAAAGGTTGTGGGTTTTTTGGTTTTGGTTTTGGTTTTGGTTTTTGGTTTTTGGTTTTTGGTTTTTTTTAGTTCTGAGGATTAAACCTGGGGCCTTCACGCTGAGCTACATACCTAGCCCTCTATTTTTATTAAAAAAATAAAATCAGGAAATTAACATTTGATACAATAGTATGTTCTAACTAATACATCTTACTCAGATTTTGACAGTTGTCCCAATAACGTCTTTTATAAGTAGGAAAAGAAAATCTCAATGTGCTCTGGAACAATTCCTTATTAGACTTAGACTTGTAGATATAAAAATTGGATTATGCTTTTTGTGGTTGATAGCGTAGCCTACTGGTAAGAGCTCAGATTGCAGGTCCAGTTAGAGCTGGGCTTTTTTTTTTTTTTTTTTTTTAAGAACTGGGGCATTCTTTCTTTCTGTTTGTTTTGTTTTGTTTTGTTTTATTGAGGAAGGGTCTTGCTTTGTAGGTCAGGGTGACCTTGAACTCATTATGTAGTCCAGGCTGGCCTCTACCTTGCAGTGATCCTTCTGCCTCAGCCTCCCAACTGATGGAATTACAGGTGTGCACCACCATACCAGCTAGATCTGGGGTTTTAAAGCTGTATAAGTGCAAACTACTTGCACAAATTACTTAACCTTTTGGTATTTTACTTTCCTTATCTGTAAAATTGTGATCATGTTTATATGAAGTGTTTTTAATGCTTGTTAAACATTCTTATGATTCTTACCTCTTTCACGGACCCCATCCACATCCCCTTCCAGTTAATACTGGGATCTCAGTTTTCTCACACTACCAACTCATTTCAATCTCACTTCACCTGCCTTCAGCCCTTCTAAAATGGGTCTCACTAAAATGCCCTCAGTCTGCCTAACCTGACTTCTCAGAAGTACTTAGTCCAGATGACAGCTTCCTTTTTGAAACCATGGTTTTCCTTGCTCCCACAATAACAAACTCTCCTGGGTTTTCTCTCTTTACCTGCATCACAATTTCTTTTAGGGTTCCCTCTTCCTCTACCCAACATTTAGTGTTTGGATTTCCTTAGCACTTAGCAAGTAAGACTTTTTATTCTTCTACAAGGTCTCGTCCTCTGTTACTTCAGTTAACAACATGCTACTGTTTTTCACACTGAGAGTCACCTTAGCAGCAGCTTCTAAAGTCAATTCAGTGGGTCATGACTAGCAATTATTTTAAAATGAAATAGGATAGAAAATATCAGTGCACCTCATGGTAAAAATTAACCAGGAAACAACTCAAATTTCTGTCAACAGATGAGTAAACTACTCTCCTTGTACAACGGAGTGGAATGAATACTCTACAGCAAGGCAAGGGACAAACTACTAGTACCAAAAAAAACACAGATTCGGAGGAAGACTTTTCTTAAGGGCCATGTTATAAATATTTTATCTAGGCCCTGCATACCATATTTTGGGCTTTCCAGTCTTTTACAAATACTAAATTCTGAGATATAGAAACAGCCATAAACAACATGTAAAGAAATAGAGGGGCTGGGGATTTAGCTCAGCGGCAAAAGCGCCTGCCTGGCAAGCGCAAGGTCGTGAGTTCGGTTCCTGGTACCGGAAAAACCAAAAAAAAAAAGAAATAGATGTTTCTGTGTTCCATTTAAGCTCTATTAGTGGACACTGAACTTTGAGTTTCATTTAATTTCTGTATGTCATAAAATTTTTTCTTTTAGCTATTTGAAAATATCTTAGCTCTCAGGTCTCTACCTAAACAAGTAGTGAGCTATATTTGGTCTACGGGCCATAATTTACTGCCCCTGCCATAGATAAACCTCAAAAACATAGTAGTGAAAGAAGCTATACTATTGTGCTGTTTGTATACTTTATGTACTGTATGGCTCCATGTAACATGGATTTCTAGGAAATGCAAACTAGTTTATACTGCCAGAAAGCTTGATCCTGACATAGAGGGAAACTGATAAAGAGTACTAGCACATTTTTCAAGAGATTGAAATGCTCTGTATTGTAATTGTAGCAGGAGTTCACACAAGTGTATACATTTGTCAAAACTTACTGAACTGCTCATGTAATATGGATGTATTTTACTGTGACTACATCAATAAAGTTGATTTAAAAAATTATAGTGCACCATATGTAGTAAGGGTAATCATTGTTTCTAACATTTCTGTCGCATCTATATAAATAGAGGTGCAGTAATTATATTGATCTCATACTTTTCCACCCCAAACCAGGCATTTCTCTCAGATACCTTATCCCA